ATATATCCTCATAACTCTCTGTGTAAATCACATTGGCCCTCTCTTAGTTTCTAAAAGTTATTATACTCTCCCCTTTCACAGGCTCTTTACATAAGATTCCCCCACTCTGGAATGCCTTTATTATCTCAGGTCTAGAAAACACTCCCTAAATTAATGAATTAAAAATCAGGTTTGTGGACTGGTGGTGGTGAAGTACACCTTTAATCTCAGCACTGGGGAGGCAGAGGCAAGCAGATTTTTATGAGTTTGAGGCCAGAGCAAGTTCCAGGACAGCCAGGGCTACAGAGGGAAACCCTGTCTTGAAAAACAAAACAAAACAATCATTTTATTGTTTTTCTGAACTGTAGTCTTACTTATAAATATAGTTCATTTTTTGTTTGCTTTGTTTTGGGGATAGGGATTCATGTATCTCACGATAGCACTATGGAGGTGCAATGACTTCTGCCTGTTCATTCTGTTTCTACCTTCATGTTGTGAGTTCGGGGGGTTATAGATATATGCTACCACACTTGGTTTATGTGGTGCTGGGGCTTGAATCCAGGAATTACTGCATGCTGGAGGTGGTCTGAATGTGAAATGTCCCTATAGGCTTGTGTATCTGAATACTTGGCCCCCAGCTAGTGGTAATGCTTGAGAAGGTTCTGAACTTTTAGGAAGTGAAGCTTTGCTGGAGGAAGTAGGTCACTGGGCATGGGCCTTGAGACTTTATAGCATGACCCCACTTCCTGTTCTCACTCTGACTTCTTGAGTGTGGATGAAATGTGACCATTCATCCTTCTGGTTCCTTCCTGCGTGCCTTTCCTTCCTGCTGCTATGCCACAGTGTACTATATCTCTCTGAGAATAGAAGCTATGACAAACCCTTCTTTCTTTAAGTTGCCTCTGTTTGGGTATTCTATCATACACATGAGGAAATAACCAGGACAATGGCAGGCACTCTACAGATACATCCCCATCCTCATAACTTTATTACTAATATGGTTATCTTATAAACACCTTCCTTACAACACTGAAAGCTCCAGGAGTTTAGAGAGCATGCTTGCTTTTGCTCAACTTCATATTCTTTGGATTTAGCATAGTGCCTGGCATATTCCAGATGCTCAGTGTAAAATTTTAACTTTCATTAAGGTTTTAAGCATTTAAAGACTCAACATTCCTACTCTCTACAAATTCATCTTAGGCACATATTCCATTGTGCTCTCATATTTACCCTTTAACTACCTTTCTAGATGTCTCTTCCATTTGCTGTCTTCTATAACCATTTAGAAAAAGCGCCCATCTTCATTCTTCCATTTACTTACTTCTTATTTCTCCTTTTGATGATTGGCTTATACTTCACTCCACTAAAACTGCTTCCTCTAAGAGCATCCTTTAATGTACTGATCACTGAGTATTGTGCAGAGTCCACTTTCCAGTTCTCAGTACCTTATATGACTTCTAGGCACCACTGATACTTGGTTATCTTGTCCTCATCATCTTCCTCATCTTGTGCTGAGGACAGGACCCAGGGGCTCAAATATATTTTCTTGATAACAATGCTTTAACCCTAAACATTCACATGTCATATTCTTCTGAGTTTCTCCTGCCTTTTGAGTTTTGCCCTCTTCTATCCACAGTTCATTTTTTATTTATGCACTGATTCTCAAGCCTTCTCTCTGAACACTTTGTATTACTCTTTCTGAGAAGTCACTTATTCCATGGTTTTAATGACTTCCTGATACCTATTTTTTTTTTTTAGCTCACCTCTTACTTCAATATCCACCTGACTCCTGTATATACTGCTTATTTGGATATGAGTGTAGTGCTATAAACTAGCAACCTAACGCATCTTAACTCATTATCACCCATTTGTATAATTTATTCTCTTGTTTTCTTTCTGAGTGTGATCACTATCAAGCTGCCAACATAGGAATGCTGAGTACCTTCGATGGCACGCTTTCCCTGTCCTAGTGCTTGTTTAACAGTCTGCTGATTCTACTTCTTTAATATCTACTGTCGGTCTCTCTCCAGACCATACCAATCAATCAAGTCACTCCTCATTTGATTACTGCAACAGTGCCTGAAAAGTTGCAACAATCTATCACCAACATCTAATAAGGCATCTGTCAGTGCATTTTCCCACACAGCAGCTAGAATGACATGTCTAAAACATAAATCTGGTCATTTCCATCTTTTATTCAAAACCTCTCAGTGTTTACCAGAGTCTTCAGGTTAAAGCCCAGATTGCCTCCCATGGCTTCCAATTACCTTGCTAGTCTCCTGATCCCCTCACCCAGTGCACACCCCAACCCTCTCTCACCCTAACCTCTGATCAGTACCTACATTTAAGTCTCGGATACCTTTGCAGTCTTCTAACCTAGGATTTCTGCTTCCTCCCCAAGCCTGCTTACCTCTTTTAATTTCCCCTGGCTCCATTTTAATCCTTATTTCCTAAGCTCTCTGGCTTAGTTCCTGGTGCAAAATAGGCACCCAATACCTCATCTTCCCTCCCTAATTTCCTTCTTTCAGGGTTAACATTGCCTTTTGTATGTTACTTTTATTTTATTTTATATTTTTGAAACAAGAGTCTCACTATGTAGTCCTGGCTGACCTAATCAGGCTGCCCTTGAACTCATAGAGATCCACCTGCATCTGCTTCCCAAGTGCCAAGATTGGAAGTATGTGTCACCAGGCCTGGAGTATATTTGTATTTTGGAACTGAATATTTTACTTTAGCAGACTTCTAAAGTAACCGTAATCTAAACATAATCTGGGTAACTATAATTCTCTTGGCATCTCGGAACAACCAGCAGCTAAAACTTACTTCAAATTTACTTCCTACAAAATTCAGTTCACTTCAAAGTCTATGAGTAAACATAATTTTGACATTAGTTCAGCAGTACATGTGTGCATGTGCACATACGCACACACATATGTGTCTGTCCATCCATCTGTCGGTCATTTGGGTTTGTGTTTTGAGATAAAGGGCATTCCAACAGTGTCTAGCCTGGGCTTCAAAAAAATTCAATTCTCCTGCCTCAACCTCCTACGTATTGTGATAATAGGTATATGTTACTATGCTTGGCTCAAATAATTAATCTTGAAGGCTTTAGAAATTTAGGATGAGGATTGAGGTCTTTTTTTGAGAGGGTATACTTAGAAAATGATCCTTTAAAATATGGGGTTCATTTGAAAGACAAAATAATTTTATATTCAATTATTTACTTTCAGCATTGATTTGGGACATTTGTAATTTATTTTAAAATAAGCTAGGATTAAAAATAAAAATTGTTATTGAGATAAGTTTTACAAGCCTACAAGCTGGGCATGGTGTCACACATCTTTAATCCCAGAACTCAGTAGAAAGAGGCAGGTGGATGGATCTCTGTGAGCTTGAGGCCAGCCTGGTTTATACAGTGTCCAGCTGAGGTTACATCGTGAGACCCTGTTTTGTTTTGTTTAAGTGTTACAGTGGGAATAGTACCTAGAAGAACTCCAGATCAATTATTTATTAGGCTCATATAATTATATCTTAAGTAATTAATGGAAACTTATTTTATTTGCTCAGTTCAAAATCTAGAATGATCTTACCTGGTCCTCCTAGAGCTGTATTTACACATAGTGAAAATTTCAAGGTTTGCCCAGGTTTTTGCCACTTTCAAGCTATTTCTTCTCTATTGTTACTAACCTGGTTCAGCTGGTCACTATAAGTCCTTGGGATTACTTCAGGTTCTGTGTGCTCTTCATTCTAATTTTTACTCATTCTTATTCATCACTATAGCTGATTTGATTTTCTCAGAATCCAGAACAAATTATTCCTCCTTGCCAGGGCCCCTACTTGAAAATAAACCTAAATATAGCAACTGACAAGTCCTGGCTCCTTATAGGAACTCTAACTTCTATTCTGATTCCACATACTCTTGTGTAGCTCTACTGGCCTACATGTCTTCCTTTAAACTCACAAGGCCTGAGCTGGTCTCAGACATGTGAACTGGCTTTTCTCTTCTTGGAACATTATTCCCCAGGACATGTACATGAATCATCTTTTGTCTCATTTATTTCCCATTTACATACTAGTAAAAAACAACACAACCCACCTATTTCCTTTTTTCTTCTTTTCTACATCTCCTTAATCAACTTCTAACATAATTTATTATGTTAATTATTTATTGTGTTTTCTTCTGCAATAATAAAAGGTCCAAAATACTTGTCTGCCTGTCTAATAAACAAATTTATATTTATGTCATGGTTATGAAAATATATTCTGGAGACATAAGTATTGATATTAGCAAACTGGTTCCAAATCTTTTAGAGAAAACATGCTCTCCCATTGTAATTTTAATTTGTCTGGATATAGCTTTCCACTTTAAATTAATTTTTTTTTGAAATGTTGAGATGTATCTCTTTTTTTATTTTTTAAATTTAAATTAGAAACAAGCTTATTTTACATGTCAATCCCAGTTCCCTCTCCCTCCCCTCCTCCCCTGTCCCCCACCCATCCCCTATCCCATCCCATTTCTTCTCTCCAGGGAGGGTGAGGCCTTCCATGGGGATCATTTTAAAGTTAATTTATAAGACTTGTTTAATCAGACACATATCTACGGACAGTCATCTGGTTGATGTGAGGTAGATCCAGACAGGTACGTACCTTAGAAAAAGGGAAAGACCTGCTTGGCATGTTTTTCCTGCTCTGTCCTAAATAATCTTAAAACAGATGGCAAAAGCTAAAATACCAAGTCTGCTGCCATGGAAACCAGTATTATAGCAGCCCATTCCAGAGCCCCACCCAGAAGATAAATGTTTGCCTCACTTTTATTACAATCTGAGTCGTCGACCTTTCACTGTTAGTTCTAACTAAAAGGCAGAACAACTGTCAACATCCTGGATGACAAAAAAGTCTAGGAGAAGACTAGTTTGTACACAACGTCCCTAAAACATATTCAGAAATCAGCAACAGACACAAGGAGTTTAACACAATTTGCTATGTTTATGTTATTCTACATGCAAAGTTATAGATCTTACTTTAATATTGCAAGCCTGCTCCATCAATCTTCTTGCATTCTCCTCTGCCCGGTATCTCTTTGGAAGCTGAACTCTGAAGAATTTCAAAGCGCCTTCAAAATCAGCCTGCAGGAGGTCTTCCTTTGAGGTCTGAAAAACATCACCCACACTTCAGCCTGTGCACATTATACAAATAAATGTGTTACAAAAAAGAATGTTGATTTTCATGAATATATCTTTAGAAGATACTTCTAGTATTTCTACTATTCAGAACATATTGCTACGTTACATGCTGAAATTATAAATCCTAAAGTAATTTAGGAGACAATTATTAACAAATTAACATTTAATTCATATTATATAGATGTTAAAATAGTGGATCCTGTAAAGCTTACCAAGCTAGAAGAAAAAAACAAACAAAAAAAACAAAGCAAAAGACAGGAAGAAAAAGAAAATGAGTGAACTCTGGATTAATTTGTGACTTTATCTTGATGAGGATTTTAAAGATGATTAGAAATCTCATTGAAGACACAAACAAAGCAATGAAAGCCCATCAGAGTTACATAATAAACACCTAATGGGAAGATTGCTTTTCAACTAATGACAGCAGCTCAAGTGAAGAAAACAAGAAACTGATCCATCAACTAAAGAATAACATGAACAAGTAAACGAAGCAAACCACTTAACTACTAACTTCTTCCTAAAAACGTTTTTTGCAAAATTCACTTTTAAAAAGCCACCATGTGGAAATCAGTAAGAATATCTGCACATAGGAAAAAGACTGAAAGAAAATGAAACAAAAATGTTTGCCTAGATAAAAGGATCCTGGGTCATTTTTTTCTCTAGGTTTTGTAGTATTTTCTGCAATATCCTAGTAAAAGATTAAGAACAACTGTGACAAAATCTCTGATACACACTAAGGATTTAGGTAGAATGATACATAGAAATAAGTAAAAGTTAAAATTAAATATTTTAGCCAGGAAAATTGTCACAGGCCTGAAATTCCAATACTAAGGAGGTTGAGGTAGGTAAGTCACCATGACTTTGAGGTCAGCTGGGGTTCTGTGGTGAGTTTCAGTACACTTATCTCAAAACATACAAACACATACACAATAAAATATTTTAAAGATGTCATTTAATTCATGTGTTTTCTCTCATACGTGAATATCCATTTTCAACCTTTAGATATGTGTGTTTTAACTGGAACATCCATAGCAGTTAGAAAACTAGTAAGAGCCCATGGGGGAGGAGAGTTCTTTTAAGGGAAGGGAGCCAGAATATAGTAATATAAAGGGGGATAAGAAAATACTGGAACAGGAAGGATCAAATAGGGAAGGGTGGGAGGTCAGGGTAGCAGAGGGATAGCTAGTACTAAAGTCCCTTTGAAAAAGCCTCATAGAAAGTTAGCACTGCAGAAGCAACCTAAAATGAATATCTATACATATATTTTAAAAGTTTAAATAGAGTCACCCTAGAATGAAGGTACAGTACCCCAATTAGATACCACATGCCAGTGAACAAAACCCCCAGTACCAGTAATGGGTTACCTCTTTTTGAGTTGTCCAGTGTGGTTCCATGAACCCACAAACACTACAGGGTATTTCTATTGCTCTTGATAACCCTCCAGAGCTTGTGAGTAAGACCCTATTGCTGAAGACACAACATAATTGAGTCATAAAAGATGGAAAAATCAAGTGATAGCTTGACTACCTGGTTTTCTAAATCTACTCAAGATCCAATATCAAGCCTGGTGATTGAGCTCACATATATGGACAAAGGAATCAAGAATGAAGAACACTTTCTCTTTACACTTTGGTCATTTAGTCAGGTGGGAATGGCGATGTAGACCAATACAGTTCTTGGAAGAAGCCACAGTTTCAAAGGCAGTCCTTTGTAGGTCTCCCTAGGAGGGTTATGCTGAAGCCTACCTCAGGTTGAGTCTCTGTATAGCAGAAGTCAAGTTATCTGCTGACTGTCCATTTCAAGACACTAGGCAGGTTGACAAGATGGCCCTGTGGCTAAATCACTTGTTATATGTACTGGCTAGTTTTATGTCAACTTGATACAAGATGGAATTATTTGAAAAGCGGAAACCCCAATTGAAAATATATCTCTGTAAGATTTGGCTATAGGATATTTTTTTAATTAGTGATTGATTGTGAACCCTGGGCTGGTGGTCCGAGTTTTGTAAGAAAGCAGGCTGAGCAAACCATGATGAGAAAGCCAGTAAGGAGTACACCTCCATGGACTCTGCATCAGCTCCTGCCTTGAGGTTCCTGCTCTGTTTTGAGTTCCTGTCCTGACTTCCTTGCATGATGAACAGCAATGTGGAAGTATAAGCCAAATATACCCTCTCCTCCCCAACTTTCTTTTTGGTAATGGTGTTTCATCATAGCAATAGTAATCCTAATTAAGACACTGTGTCAGCCTGAAAACCTGAGTTTAATTAATCTTAAGCACCCATGTAAAGGTGGAAGGAGAGAACAATCTTCACCAAATTATTCTCTGATGTCTATCTGTGTCTGTATATGTTCCCAACACACACACACACACACACACAATACACGATGATGATGATGATGATGATGATGATGATGATGATGACAATAAGAAAACACTATTAGCATTGGCTTGCCTAACTCAGTTGAACCCAAGAGGTAAAAGAGCTATGACAACCACACAACAAGGAGGTCCACATCGGAAGCGTAGAATTGGCACCTCAATCTCTGGAAGGTACTTATGACATAAGGGGAATCAAATATAATTGCAAACATTAAATAAATTCATTCTAATTTCAACTCTGGATAACTTGTGATGCTGTCCCCATTTTCCCATCTTGAAAATGAAGTAAGTTAAGGTATATAAATAAATACATTATTAAGTCCAAAACAAACCATTTGGTAAGTAAACTTTTCTATGCTCAAATATTCTTAGGTAATGATCTTTTGTGGTTAAAAACAGTGCCTACACTCACTGATACTTTTAATTCCACAAAGAAAACTAGAGCCTAGAGAAGGTTGTTCAGTGGTAAGAGCACTGAGAGTGTAAGCATGAAGACTTGAGCCTGACTCTTGGCACTGGGAATAATGAATGGCTCACATACCTGCTACACTGCTATGAGGCATTAAAGACAGAAGGACTCCTAAGGCTTGCTGGCTGGCCTGCCTAGCTCCAGGTTCAGTGAGGTGAAATTAGACAGAGAATGACAAAGGGGGACACCGGGGTGTTCTCCTCCACTATGCACATGCGTAAGTGAGCAATCTCTCTCTCTCTCTCTCTCTCTCTCTCTCTCTCTCTTTCATCATAAAAACATTCTATAGGCTCAGGTCTAATAATTCATATTTTCATGGGGATTTCAAAAAGCTAATTTCACTGTGATGATAAAAAGATATGCCACTAAGCAAAGGGCACTGAAAAAGCTCCATTGGAGGCCAAAGAGATGGCTCAGTGGTTGAGTACTTGTTGCTCTTGCAAAGGACTTGGGTTCTGTTCCTAGAACCAACATGACGGCTCACAACCACCTGTAACTCAAGGTCCAGAGAATCGATGGCTTCTGCTAGCTATTCTCTGCCAGCACGGCATGTACACGGCACACAGACATACATGCATACAGAACACCCACACACATAAAGTAACAACATGAAAAATAATAAAAAAAAAAACTTGTTCCTGTGTGTTCTAAAAACAACTTAAAGTCCTACTTTGATTCCAAAGGGGTTTTCTTCCAATTTTCTATCTTTAAGAGACCTCTATAACCATTAAGTGTCCCCTCAAATGCCGTTGTAATGCTTTAAGCAGGTTATAAGCTTATAGGGCTAACTCTCCACTTTCTGACACCCATATCTAAGAGGTTTTCCCTCTATAACTGAGGCATAGACACTTTATACTTTGCAAAGATTTGGATGTTTCACTAAAAATTTAACAAAAAATAGGGTTTGTTATGGATTTTTGGTGCTGGAACAGAACCGCAACCTAACCCATACTAACCATATGATTTACCCCCAAGCTATATATCTTTAGTTTGCTTTTAAAAATAATTTTTTAAAAAATAGTAATTTATCTATGTATGTGTACCTGGAAGGGTCACTGTATGTTCGTTTTTGGTTTCAGGTTACATAGTCATGGCGCCTCATGTAAAAGCAAAATGGAGGGGTGGTAAACTTGCCCATGTGTGCATGTTTAAAGAGCTCAATTGACAAGATGTCTTCCTCAATTGCCTCTCCACCTTATGCTTTCAGACAAGGTCTCTCTCACTGAACCTGAAGTTTGTCATTCAGCTAGGCTAGATGGCCGGTGAAGTCACGAACCCAACTCTCTTCTCTGCTGCTGAGGTTACAGGCACACATCACACACCTGACTTTCATGTGGTGCCAGGGAGTAGAACTGACATCTTCCCTCCTCCCAAGCTGTTTACCCACTGACGCAACTCCTCAGCCCAAGAAAGCCAAGTGTTTCAATTTTAACATGAAGCCTTTCAACTCAGAGACAAACTTCCTGGCATTTTGTTACTTTGCTTATTCTTTCCCCCATCCTCCCCATATCCCTTAATTACATACTACATATAAGAAAGACTTCAAATACACAGATTCTGAGTAGCACCGAACTTGTTTTATTAAATGCGTGTTTCATGGATGTCAAGCATTAATTTTATTGCTAATCTAAAACACAGTGCTTTCAATGAAAATAAAGCATGTCTCAGCTAGGATTACTAGTTCTAATACATACAAATTAATAATTACCTGGCTATAATGATGATATTGATGGGTATAATTAGGCTTATAGTTGTATGAATATTAATCCCTGCCTATGAAGAGAGGCTTAGCACATAATTTCATGATTATAAGTTTTGTTTTTTTTGTTTATTTGTTTGTTTGTTTTTTGAGACAGGGTTTCTCTGTGTAGCTTTGGAGCCTATCCTGGCACTCTCTCTGTAGACCAGGCTGGTCTCAAACTCATAGAGATCCACCTGCCTCTGCCTCCCGTGTGCTGGGATTAAAGGCGTGCACCACCAATGCCCTGAAATTAAGTTTTAAGCTTTAAAAATGTACCCCTAACAGAAAGACCGACACTTCTGTAATCAAACCAAGTACCCTAAAAAGCTGTCCTGGCTTCTGACCATAGAATTCCATCAAGCTAGACTTGATTTAAAC